AACAAATGTGGCATTATGCTCTGAATCTGAAAGAATGAAATGTGAACTCACTGTACACACATATTACAGCAGAATATATAACAGCAGCATATAAAAACATAGTCTAATGTTCTTTTTACTAAGGCTCAAACTCTAATTCAAACTTAATTTTTTTTTTAATTGAATTCATTTTGAATGAAAAGTACACATATAATACACTGTTTGCACATGGTTATGTACATTCTGTAGATTCCTTAATGTTGTGTACTTAGTCAACATGTATCTTAGTCAAAATAAGAACAATTTTAGTAAGCTCGTAATATGATGTAAAGACCTACACAAATTGGGTTCTCTAAGAATGTCAGTTAAATGTAAGCTGTTATTTTTTACTTATACTTCTGATATGACATTGTATAAGCCAGTCCCCATAAACGTATAACAATATTCAAATCTTTCCCCAATTTTGATATCTGTCCTGATAGTAGGGTTTTCCTCTGACTGTCCTGATCCTCAAAAAATCACCAGGATCTACCATTGTATAATTTTTCTTTGCTCTATCTAATAGTGCTGACAAAGAAAGATATTACCAGTAAATACATAGAAGTCCTAGAAGTTCTGTAACCTTACTGTTGTTCAGTAGAAGGAATATGCTACTTAGAAATTGCCCTAATAGGAGTAAACCAAATTTTCTAAAAATTAGTTGCATGAAGTCTTTATGTTTTAACAGTGAATATTAAATGAGGAGAGCAGAAATAACAATGCACAATATTTAGTTTTGGTCAATCTTTTCTAAACCCTGCAGCTCCGATTTTTTAGAGCTCATATATCGCTGGTGGAGTGATGAAACCTCGTAACCCTCAATTTTTTCGAAAATCGTTTTTTTGCCTTAATATCTTCTCCCAGTCCTTCTTCACATTGTGTCAAAAGCACTAGGTTAAATTATAAAGAGAAAGTATGAAAAAAACTTACTAAAAAAACCTCGTATGTTTGCCCCCATGATATCCTGGCGTGATGAAACCTCGCAACCCTCACCTGGTGCGCTGATCTGCTTTTGCGTGGTTTCATCACTCCCGGTTTGAGAGAGTGACGTGCTTTTACGAGGTTCTGGATATGAATTGACTTAATGGAAGTGCTCATAATTGTCATTTTCTGGTGCATTTTATATGCCTGACTTAATAAAGAAAAGTTTAATTCATTCATACATTCATTCATTCATTCAATCTTTTATTTATCCATTTTATTTCAGTCAGTTCAGAAATTCAAATATGATCATAAGTGAAGGAGTTACATTACGTAAATCTATTTGAAATCCTGTTATAGGGATGACTAACGCATTGGTAAACAAGATGTTCTTATAAAGCACAAACATTGTTAACACTTAATTTAACAACAGTCACACCTTGAAAAGACAGGTGATAATAGTCCTTACCAAGAATAAGTGACAAGTCTATGCACTCTCCAAATGTCACCTGGACATTATGTTTATCAAAGAGAGGGTAAGGTTTCACCCCTTCTCAGACTATGAATCCGCTGATTAGTCGAATCCTTCAGTCGTGGTTGAGACCAAATAGTACTGAACTTACCCATGTTCTTCTTGACCCTGAAGTCTATAGAGGGCATTGCGACAAATTTGTGCCTCAACAATACAAGTGATATGGACATTTACGCATCTGTTTTGAATATCTCCCCCATCTGTGCTCGCATCACCTAGATCTTTACACCATCCAAGGGCTGGTTTGGAAACCACTGAGCAGACCCCGTTCCATCAAATGACTCCAGCTACCATGTCGCAGTTCTTTCCAGGGATGTGTCTTATATGTGGGGGCAAGGAAGTATCAGAATCATCACAGACTGAGTCAGCACCAACACCAGTGTCGCCTGGAATCACGCCCCAAACCATACTGACATTTCCCCAGGCAGCTGTAAGTCAGCAGCTGAATTATTACCTGCGAAGTCACAGCAACACGATCTGCAGACCACATTCCTAGGTCCATCTCACCTTCAGGCACCTTAGGCACTTTTCCTGGAGCCTGATCCAAAAACACAGCTCATTTGGGATGCCAAAGAGGAAAAGAAAGGGTTTTCAGGAGTGGCGACAAATAAGCCAAGGCCATCCGTGGATCTGGTCAGGAATACCATAAAGATTTAATGAAAAGCCCAGCTACGTCACTGAAACCAAACTGTGATTGCAAGAGCTGAACTTTGAAATGTAAAGGGCAAACGGCTCTGGAGGAAGACAGACACATTAATTTTGATTCAGTGTAGTCCTCTCATGGGATGAAAAAAATGTCTCTTTATTGGACTAGTGGACATAGACCAGCCTCAGAGGAGGTATTCAGAAACTAACCAGACAGGGCATACCTTTAAATTCACATATAAAATGGCGGTCATAAGGTGCCAGTGTATAAAAAGATGTTCCTGCATTCAACTGGATTGAGTGAATGATTTGTAAGAAACATTTAGAACCAATTATCAAAGGAACTCAGATATCTACATAATGTATGCACAATTCTGCCAAGACCACAGGAGGCAGACTCTCAACAGACACCCCCCCCCCCATCAATGAAACAATCAGGCAGAATAGCCTGTCTTGTTCATGCCAAAGAAAGATATGTGAGACCTTTGCATTATCCCTGAAGGTGGCAACGTGCGGAGGATTTTTGGAATGCTCACATTCTAGAAAAGGGGCAGCGCGCAAGGAAATGGAACGAGACAAATCTGAAGCCATCAAATATCTCGCCAGTGATGAACCTAAAATGGCGCATGTTTTCTATGGATTTTCAGCTTGTGCTCCTTACACTTACACCCAAACTGAATGCATCAGCAAACAAAGCGTGCCGTTCATAACTTTACGATATTTGAAGCTCCAACACATCAGGCTACTTGTTACGTGTGGCATGAAGCAGAAAGGGGAATTAGTAAGTAAGCTTGCTTCATGTCTACTGGCGTTCTTGAAGGAAAAGCTGTACTTCCAGAAAACCATCATCGACAGCGACCGCTGTGGTTACCAATACAGAAATGCCACACTAGCTAATGTCTCTCTCAGCCTGTTTGCAACAACATATGGTAGCACAATTGAACAGAAATGGTTGATCAAAGAACACACAAATATAAGTTGACTGTGCACTCAACTATTGAAAGATCAGTTCGAAAAGCACGAATCGAGGTCGCCCTAAACTACATGTATCTCCATTTCTTCAGGATGGCCAGAGAAAAACCAGACATTATTCTAAGTGAGGAAGTTACAAGTCTATCAGACCAGGCAGAAAAACGGGTCATCCTGTTGTCACCGACATCAGGTGTTTGAGGTACACCCCAGACATGAACATCCAGTTCAAGCTGCTTTTCAGTGATGAATGGGTTTACGTTCCGAAGGCAGAACACAGAAACATGACTTAAAATCCAGCACTCCCAAGTACAACCCCTTTACTAGCTTGAATCTGTTATTTCCAATATACGTCATCACTTTATGACAATTTACGCCGTTATCATTAATGGCTATTCATAATGGGGGGGGGGGGGAGGGGGTTTTTTTGTCTGCACATACGTTATGTATTTTCATAATTAATCCAATTATTATTCATGACACACAACCTATTATTTGATTGATCTTCCATTCGTTTTTCGAAGCATTTTCTATTATTTGATTGATCTTCCATTCGTTTTTCGAAGCATTTTGTGGCGTGCTTTCGTGTGTGTGTGTGTGTGTGTGTGTGTGTGTGTGTGTGTGTGTGTGTGTGTGTGTGAGTGTGTGTGTATTACATTATTTTCTTAATAAATTTAGTAATGGACTGACACAGTAAAACTTTGAAAATCATGTCTATATTTTGATCTAGATCTATTTCTTACCATTGTAAAAGCCATCTGCAGTGCAACCAGAGACCATATTGCAGAGATATACTATTCATTTGTGCCTTTTTGTAAAATGGAAGTAACCAGATCTAATCCTGGAAAATTATATTGAAACAGATTGCCCAAATCGCTGATCCGTTTGAGGTTTCAAACCCTAATTCTGCCGATAACACACATTTATTTGACTTCAGTTGGCCGGGAATCTAACTCTAAACTAATTGGTCTTGAAGAAACATCTTCATCACTTTGTTGCGTTCCAAACTACAAATGCATACTGCAACCAAATGAGCTGCGAGAAAACTCGAAAACCTCAAACTCTGTCCTGATGAAACCTCGCAACCCTCCCGCCGGCTGATTACGAGGTTTCATCACGACAAAAATGTTGTAATGAAACCTCGCATCCCACAGCATAACCATTTAAAGAATAGAAAAGGGGATTTCTTTGGTCTAACCAAGTTTCAAAGGTGTTTTCATTTATCTGTACCAACTTTGGTTCATATAGATCTTTTTGTTCACGAATAAATCAGTTTTTTGTCTCTCCTGTAAAATTTTCCTTTCTGGGGTTGCGAGGTTTCATCACTCCACCAGCGATATACCGGCTTGACAATAATCAGTGCTACATCTGTCTCATCTGTGACAGTGTAAAAACAATCATACAGCAATATCCTACTCCTCATGCATTTCAACCAGCTCAAGGAAAAAAAGCAATGTCATGAACAAAACTGTGTGCTGGTAAGGCTTTCCAATATTTCACACTTACTTTTTTCACTTTGTTAATGAGAATATTAGCAGTCTCTGGCAAATATGTTGAAGATTTTCAAAAAACTAATGCCCAAAGCCTGTTGCTTCACATCATTAGAAAAATATATTATCAATATAGTAACAAAGTATATTTTCCACCTAGAAAGTTCAGATTCTATCGAGAAGCTCGTATAAAAAATTGTGATGACAACCATCCTGTAAACACAGCAGTAAATAAGCAACAAAATAACCCCACTGCATTTGACTAAAAACTTTGTTCAAATATAAAGACTGTAATCATTATATTGTATGCCAACACATTAAAAAAATGTTCCATGCTGGTCCCATTTTCAGAAAGTACATTCATAGCAAGGCAAAATATTTCTTTTTAACAAAAAAAACAACTCAACACAAACACAAACATTACATTGCTAGTTTTAGATGTAAGAATTGTCAATGAAAAAAATTAGTAAAGATGTTCCTAAAAGTCAGGTCAATACTCTCAGAGACTGACTTTGTCTGACCTCTTACAAAAATGAATTTGAAACCATTAAAAACTCCAAGTCAGCATAAGTGTCGTAGCTAAGAAGGCTGAATCAGAGTCGTGCTCAATAGAACTATACAGGCATCTTTTTTTTAAACATACACAAGACGCCATACCGGAATGACATGTGGAGGTAGTTAAAGACAAAATTTTCAAATGCATCAATCAAGAACTTGCTGAATATCTCAGTCTTGTTAAAAGGGACTTCAATTTTTTAGACCAATAAAGAACCATTACACCTTATAGATCAGTTGACTCGAAATCATCACAAGATAGACCAACAGAAGACACAAAGCTTTGTCGATGCCACCTGGTGGCCATTTTGTTAGCTCCCACTGGGAAGAGAGAGCTGTTATTTCTGTTGACACTGAGAGTGACATTGGTGGTGTGAATGGGAAACGAGTCAAAAGCCTCATTTGTGAAGGCTACCAGTTCCCTCTCCTCGCGGTAGATCCGGACATGCTTTTTCTCCTTCTCATGTTTATTTCGCCTGAAATATATACAAATAGAAGCAATCAGACTCACATACTATGCTGAAAGAAGGGGTCTAAATAGGTCTAAGATTGATTGCTATACTGTTGTACCCACTCCAATAAAAGGCATTCGTTATGTCTAATTAACTCCTCAGATGAAACTGGGACTTCAAATTTATTATCCCAGTTTTGGTGGACATACAGGATTGCAGCCTGCTGGGCGGCATTACATTTTCATTTGTACCTTCCACCTCTGCTGATTGTTAAGTATCTATTTTCCACTACAGTATACTGACAAAAATAATGCAAAGTACCTTTCCTCAATACCTGTATCCAGCAAGGTTGTAAAGTTTTAGACAGTATCTTCAACCAGTTACAGCTAAATGTGGATGCCCAAAGAGGGTGGCCTAAAACTACTACAGTATAACATGGATAGCTCGAGTTCCACGGGACCAGCCTCGGCAGTATGAGGGATCCATAGTTCGAGGGATATCTTACAAAGATAAAGAAAAAGAAAAAACGGGGACAAGTTTTTAAAAATTTAAAGTGTGAATGCTGAATGTCTCAAGGATACCTCTTGGGATACAGACGCAACAAATTTGACACTGTCAAATGTTGCGCTGTGAAGCGTTCTGGCATTGCAAATGAATTTTTTGAACAACCAGATCTGAAACGGATTTTAAAGCTGAAAGAAGCCCAGACACAAAGGAGTGAACCAATGGATAGACAAAACAAATTGTTGAAAAATCAAATCATGAAATAGAGCAGGGGCGGCTAGTGGGGCTAAAAAGTGAACGTGCACAATTAAGCTATCACATGCTGAAGCTAGTCAAGGGCATAGTAAATGAGACGGTGTATAATTTAAGGATCTTTGGGTTGGTGAGGGAGGACCTCGTGCTTTTATTTTCATTTGTTTTACTTGTCGCTTTGATTTCTAGTACTTAATTTGTTTGTTAGCTAAACATCAATTTCGTTCATCCTTTGTCGGAACTGAACACTCAATTAATAACTTTCACTACTCCACTACAAAACCATTCAAAAGCACAACTCATTGGACGGTCACGTTCGCCTCCCTCAGGTTCATTGTCACAGAGTCGCTTAAAATAGTGGCAAGACAGACAATGAACCAATCACAATTCACTTGAGCACTCCGCTGGATTGCTCCGGGGCTCACATAATATTGGCAAAGAATAGCGTACGGTCTATCGCATTTATTTTTAGACTGCCTACTGTGGGCTTTGTTTCGGCACTCTTCGGCAGGAGCACATTTGAGATGTGCCGTCTTATTAATATTAATGTACCGCCAAACTCGCTACGTGTGTCGTCATCGCTTGGGTTATCCCCAAGAGCGGTTTATAGATCAGGTTACGCTATTGAATATCCTATTATGCTTAGCTAAAGCGCATGGACTTTGGTAAGGCATTGTAGATGTTTTACGGCGCTATAGACACAGAAATGAGTTATGGCGCAGTGAGGACCCTGTTTTGATATAATATTTGGCTAGTGTTTGTTTCTGGCTTCTTTTATTTTATTATTGTGGGTGTTTTACGTAAAGGAACATAAAAAAATTTGGGGCAGCACTGCACGACTGTGCTCTATGGACGAACCGCGCCTGAAATAGAGGGTTATAAATTCTCAAGAATAACACTATCAAAACACATGGCACACTCACCTGTAAACACATGCTGCAATAATGATAAAAAGAAGCAGCGTTGCTACTGCCGTCACTGTCATGCTGACGATCACCAGGGTATGGAATGTTGGTGACCCCAACACTGGAACATAATATCATACATTGTAGAAATTACATCAAGAAACAATCATATTTCCTACAATTTAAGGAAAGGCATCAAATTGCATGGTACAGTTTCATTGAAAGTGTACTTGATAACACACTTACCAACTAAAATAGCGCACTTCATATATACAATCAACAAAATAAATTAACAGTATGAACCCTCATTTTCTATTCCCACTACCCTACGTCCATAGTCTGCTTCCCTCCCCCCACCCTCTCTTCATAAATTCTTCATCTCATCTTTTTCCCAGCACATGTATCCCATGTATCTGATGTACACATGCTCATGAGTGGACACACAGAAATACTCAGAGAAATACCCGGAAGTCTATTACTATCTCAAAAGCGAGAAAGATCCTCAAAGCAGCTTAAAAAGGGAACAAAATTCTGACTCATTATCCCATGAATCAGTTAATTATGCATGAGTATGACTCGTAAATAAAACTTTGCAGTATTGAATTGGAGAGAAAGCAATGTGAAATCTAGACTAACAGACTTAAATCTGAACAATGTTGACAGACGACAAGAACTTTAATAACTGAAAGAAAGTTTGAGAAAATCATGTTGAAAAAACAACAAATGAATTCAAACAAATTGAAACAGAAGAAACAATAACGCATCACCATCTTATAAACCATAATTTCTAAACTAAAAACATCAGCTGTAATAAACTTGGAAAACTGTCTATTCTATTCAATACTGTAAAGTTTCAATTGAAGAATTATGAACCACCATGGTTAATTCCTCAATCCCAAATCTAATATAAACAGCATCCCTTTCTGTAAACCCATAAATCCTCAAAGGGGGACAAATATAAAAGTCTATAATTTTCCAATATGACAAAGGTCATCAAAGGTCAACAGAATAACAAGAAAAAAAGCACACACCTTGATCCCGGCAAACTTGCACAGTACAGTGGCAGGGCAGACCTATGTCATTCTTAATTGTGCTCTCCTCTTGCTCCCCACAAGACGTCAGTTCACTGCACAGGCTGTCACAGATATCTAATGAGAAGAACAAAGCAAATTTTCTTAAACTTAAAGGGCAGTAAAAATTTGTGAACATCAAATATTCAGAAATCCTTGAACTGAAAGAGCAAGCAGAAAATTTTTTTTACAATTATTCTAAATGTGTGTTTAGAAATAAACTAACTAATATTTCAACAAACCACAGTTTAGCACACACATAGCAAACAGGCATATAATGAAACATACACATGGTGAACAGATTTCCAGGTTCAGGATGTTGTCTAATACATCATGTATATATTTTTGTACTTAAAATGAATGTAAACACCGCAAATAAGTACTTCACAAAAAGATGTCAACATCCTGCTGATGTCGTTACGTATGCTAGACTATGGTAGGGCTTTTCTTAAAATGATTATCCTCAGCATCATCATAACAATAACCCTTCCTTGTAATAATTTAAAAAATCACTTGGCAAAAATTCTAAGGAGTCTCTGACACTCATAAAGCCAACTTTAGACAGCAGTAAGAATAACAATAAAAATCATGCAAAAACTAGTTTTAAGATTACCTTAGCATTTGAGTAGCATTTTGTTCTGTCATTTTTCAGGACAGACGTCTTTCATTTCTATGTAGTTGATCAAATACTAAAGTTGAGACAAATAAATAAAATTCTAACCTATGCAATTTTTTCCATCAGCACTTGTTCCATGGTTGCATTTACACTCAAACCCCTGGGGCAGGTCCACACACTGAGCATTGTCAGCACAATCATGAATCTGCAGAGCGCACTCATCCACCTCCCCGGCTTCACACTCTGACCGAGCTGTGGCACCTGGCTCCGTAGTGGTTAAGCCGACCCCACATGGTTCACACTCTGTTTCCCCTCTGGAAGTCTGGAACGTGCCAAGTGGACAGGGGAGGCAAGTTCCCAATTCCGAATCCTGATAATGACCTTTTTCACATTTCACTGAAAAGGCAAAAAACAAACCATTTTCTGACATGTATTTGTGTCACAACCAGACGGAATCAGGTGCTCGTCAATTTTTGGACATATGTTGTTATTGGTATCATCTTAAAGCCTGTTTTTTTTTTAAAGTGTTTTACAGTGCTCACAACTGCGTAAGTTCATACAAGCGTGAGGGACACACTAAACATTTTCAATTGGTAGGAAATTTTGAATTTTCCGCTGACGGCAGCCGAAGCCTACTCTTATCGATTTTTGACCACCAAGGGATCTTTAAAGTGCGCAACTTGCACACGGGACCTCCGAGATTTTGTTTCCTTGTCCGAGAAGGCTAGGTGTAGATCTTTCCTACCAGAACATCAGGGATGTGGCTGAAAGACAGCAGTAAGAGGGAGCCAAGGAGTAGCAGTAGAAAGGCTGCAGAAAGAGTCAGGCGTCCAGGGGAGGGGCAAAGGAGGTGAGGGGGTAGGGGTGGGGGCAGAAAGTGGGGACAACAGCAGACGACAGAACATTGCTAGAACAGGAGAGGAGGTAAAAGGAGACAATTTTAAAAAATAAAAATTTCCGTCGCTATCCTGATTCGAACCCGAGACCTATTGATTGAGAGGCGAACACTTTAACCTCTAGGCCACGAGAGCCCCCAAAAAGCCTTCATTTGCCTTTCTTTTTGGTGAACAAAATGTCTATGTTGAATAAAAGTCGAGATATTTGCAATATTTGCCTGGTTTCAGAGATAAAATTAGCAAGAAAATGGACGCCAAAGTTTGGTAATTTCCATAGCTTGAGAGTCCTTGGAAAATGAAAATTTACATCTTTTGTGCCTTCAATCAATGTTTTTCAGTAAAATCCAAACAGAAATATGTTTTTAAATAGATGTAAAAGGTACTGAGCCGAAAAAACAAAATTGGAAAAAAATTGCCCAACACCCAGAAAAATGCCATTTCTTACAATTTCATCATTTTGACGAGCGCTTCATTTCCCCATGATGTCTCACATTTCGTACTGAGAAAGGTAACAACTAAACAAGTCTCTCTCTGATCTTTCTCAGCAAATTTACGATCATATTCTTAATTTTCAACCTGTAAATTCTTTGCCATATATTGACAGGTCAAAGGGATTGAATTCAGATGGCCACCGGGTCCTAAAAGTAAAGTATTCTCAAATCTCCATTAACTACCAAATAAATTTTCAGATGTCAAAGAAAGTTCTATTATAGTATGTGCTTTCAGGAAGGGGTGTCGACTTTAGCATTAATAACCAAAAAACTTCATACGATCAATCTCAACAAACAAATTAACTTTTGGAGATACAAACCAAGCCTGTCTTATCAACATTAATGGGTACAAATGGCGTGCTATAAATTCCCACTTACAAATGGAACACTGAGAGACAGAAACGGCTCCAGCCCCAAGAGTGGTCCACTTGTAGCCACAGGGGAGACAGTAGCTGCTGTCACCGTCCCCTGCACGATAGGATCCTTTAGCACAGAGCTGGCACTGGCCCATCGGAGACATCTCTTCCCCGGCACCACACAGGTCTGGGGACATGCAGGACACATAAGTACAAGAAGAAAACAAGCATGATTATGATGATGATGAGATGATGATGAGATGAGATGATCATGATGATCATGATGATCATGATCATGATGATGTTGATGATGATTTTTTTTTGTTTCCTTAAAGGGCCTGGTGGACTCCACGAAGAAATCTTTGAGCAAGAGCGAGGCTCTTTTTTGGTTGCATTGTCATTATACTCAGAGGCACCTCCACTCATCCAAATAACTACATTTGAATTGCAAAAATATGATGATGATGAGATGATGATTATGAAAAGAAGCATTGGTGGTCTAGCGATTAGGCTGTTTGACTTGCAACCGCAAGATCATGGATTCAAATCTCATTAAGGGCCCAACATTGTGTCTTTCAGAAAGACACTACATACCAATTTTCCTCACTTCACACAGGTGGGAAAGAGTACCCGCTTATAAACACTGAAAGATCGTGTCAGTTTGTTAGTATTTGAACTCTTATCAGCTGCTTGCATTGTATGCTTCCTGGGAAGCAGAGAACATTTATGGATGTTCTAAGGTCTGCTGGAGTAGCAATAGTTGTGAAGAGCATAGAGCAGGCTGCAGAGTATGGATATGTGCTGAATGAATGCAAAATAATAATAATAATAATAATAATAATAATAATAATAATAATAATAATAATAATAATAAAAAGGTAAACAGGGTTTGGACTTTGGGGATACCAACAGAGAAAATAACATGAGCAAAGTCAAGAGTAAAAGTACACCCTTGCCCTTTTAAAGGTTGAGTTAGAGACTAAAGAGCTGTTTTTATTCAAATTTTGGAGTGTTGTCAGCTTGAATAAAAATAGTGAGAATCAACAAGAAAAACTTCCTAAGCGAGTCACTGACAACTATATAATCTCCTATTCTTTTTTAACAACTGCCACAGATTCGTCTGGAATCCAACAGAAGTGACTCACTTGAGCATGCAGTGGAATGAGTAGCCCCTGGTGCCTGAGTGGTTTGTCCCTCAGGACAAACTTTACAGTCCAACTGTCCAGCGACATCTTGGTATGTTCCCCGGGAACACTCCACACACTTTGCATCACTACGTTTGTAAAAACTGCCGGGCTTGCAGAGTTCTGAGAATAAGACAAATATTTTACAATAAACACTTCCCCTGTGCCTAGTGTAAGCACTTTTATACAGGGTTCCACAAGAGAAAAAAAATAAAGTAAAAAGAAACTACAAGTACCATTTGCATTTATTTCTATGTGATGGCCTGTGCCATATAACATAATTCTAAGCTGATATTAATATCTTATGGTAGACATACACAGTATCCCATCAACAAGTACAATTTTACCAACAGCCCCTCCCCCCTCCCCATCCCTCCCCCCATGTCATACACTCATAAGCAAGTTTTAGCATTTACCTGCAAAAATATCAGGTTACAAAAATTACGGTCTTAAGAGGTGCATTTATATGCTAACATCAGGATGACACCTAACCCGACTTCTCACTAATGAATACTGCATTGGATTGAGAGCAGAAACTACTAAAAGTATTGTGTAGTGAAATAATTTTATCTTTTTGAGATCCTTACAGCTTCAAACAGACTACTTAACCATACATCTGTATTTAACAAGCTGATATTAGAACAAAAAACAAAAACATCTAGTTCCTACTTACACAGTGAAAAAATACTGACTATTTCTTTAGTAAGGTATCAATTGTTCCAATTTGAACAACTTTATAAAGCCAGCTTTACAATCTTTTTTATTATAGAGCCCAGAATACAAATTACGACAACAACAAAATGACCCAAAACTGAGAAAAACTCATTTGATTAACAGTTTCTAATAGCAAAACTAAAACTGAATTGAACATCTTGTTACTAACAAAATTCAAAGGTGATATTTGATGGCAACAAGCACGGGGAAAACATGAAAGCAGCGGAAATGACTCACCGAGACACTGTGACCTGTTTGTTGCTCCAGCAGAGTATGTGGTCATACTCCCAGGACATCTCTGGCATGACAATTCCTCTCCATTTTCCCTGAAGGTACCTACTGGACAAGGGGAACACTTTGACCGCTCAGTGACCTGGTGACCTGCAGGACACTCCACTGACAAAAGGCAAAAAGATAAAACAAATTTGAATAAATTCCCTTTCTGATATTAAGATAATGGAAGCTTTATAAATGTTCACATCCACAGCACATTTCCCCTAAACCACTTCTTGGCCATTTAACCCTTTGCGTGCAAAACATGAAATAAGTCATCTACATGTATATTCAGTGCCATCCCTGTACCATTCACAATCTATTGACAATTTGGTATTTTGTACTTCGTTTCCTTTGTTCAATTTCTGACATAAAAATAGTCCAACAACTGGTCTCTCCTAAACCACATTCAACTTACAACACACTGTGTCAGTCCAAATACGGAAAACAGTCTGGCATGGAAAGAGTTATGGGCTGGAATCTCTGAATTTATTATCAATCTCCGATGAGACCACCCAGGTAGGCACAGTCTCAAAAACTCCCAAAACAACCCATTTTCAAAAACAAACACCAGTTTTGATCACAATAAATCTAGCAGGTGCAACATCACAACCAATAAGATTCAAGTGACACAAAGCAGGGGGAGGGGGGAGGGGGAGAAAGGGAGGATTTTAAGTTAACAGACTATATCTTCAGAGGGTTGGAAGGTGCCTGAAGGATCCTACTTCTTTACTATCCTTTTTTGCTTCTGCCTTTCATTCTTTTTGTCCTTCAATGCTAATTAATCACATACTCTTCAGCCTCAGTCTCTGTAACTTAAAACTTTGCCAACAGCTTGTATTGAACACCTTACATCGACTATACAAGAACAAGTAGGCAAGCTCACAGCATTCATCTTTGTCTAGTGAGTGTCCGGAGAGAAGAATCTCTCCTGGCTGACACTGGGACTTGATGTTGAGGTCAACTGAGGTCAATTGGAACTCATCTCCAGAGTGGTCTTCTTTGATGGCATGGAGAATTTCTTCTGTTATGGACCCTGTATCTGAACCACCTAAATGCCATCTGAAAAAAAGAAATTCAATTTATTAATGACTAAAAAGAAATATTAAAAAAAACAGAAATGAGGATGTAAAAAGAAGGCTACTTAAAGGGCAAGTAGGAGCCTTTCATGAGCTGAAACACAGCTATTTGAAAGATGTTTTTCAAAAAACAAAAGATGGGTCTTTCTGAATTCAGTAACAATACTGCTGATCAATAATATTAACCTTTAGAAAACCAGTCGTATATTTTCTTCACTAGTTCTCGTAACCCCAGGCCCAGCCATAGGGTGCCAGCAATCTCAAACCCAGACCTGCCAACCACTACATGATGACCAAAAAGAGAATTTTTCCTCAGAATTCTTCCTAAAAATCAGAGTTTGGAGTAAAAAATCAGTCTCCATAACCAGGTTCACCTAAGATCGCGCTTTTTTAAGAAACAGGATTGTTACTATACAAAAGTCACCCCTGACATCCTGCTATGATTCACTCTGAAGGTCTAAATTTGGCTAAGATGCCGCATTTCAGGCCACAATTTACAGAACAAAAACGTGGGCAGACACAGCCGATCAACCAAGAGTGAAAAGTTAAGATCATTGAACTGCCGGTCGCGACAAAGATAATCCACTCTCATGAATGCAATCACTTAAGCGTTGTAAAACTCAGTGAAACATAACAATGTTTGCCCCAGACGGGATCACACCGAGGTGTGAACTGACTGACGTGTTTGTTTATCCCAAACATACCTTGCACTTGCGTCCAAGCTCTCCACCTAAACTAACATCACTCGCTGGGAGGGCAGGGCCTACACGTTCTCTCCAGGTGAGATAATACTGGACTGTGAACTCTTCCCTGACCATACCAGCAGTAAATTTGTGAGACAGACTAAATTTTAATTCCTGTGGTCACTACATAATGGAGAGTAACGACAAAGCGGGACAACTTGGTCAAAGATGGAAAGAAAGAAATTTTGGACAGATAAGGGGAGGGGAGGGGCAAGTGGATAAGCATAGAACTTGAGGATAGGATAATAGGATAATAAGTGTAAATGGCACGCATCATGCCACTGTGATTGGTTATCCAGGTTGACCACTCTTTGCTCGCCAAAATATGTCATAAACCCATACAGTGGTCACGCAAGTTCATTTGAGAGTGAAGGAAGACCATTTTACTGGTTGTGGGGCTTAACATGGGTCACTAGATTATTCCCTTGGTCCGTCGGCTTATATCCCATTCGCCTAAGATCCCGCATTTTCCTGGATCTTAGGCGGAAACTACTGTACCAAATAATCAATTTCTGTATAATGTTACACACATGACAACCAATCAGCAGCAAAAACAACCACTCACAAACTTTGAGAAATTCTCATTTCCATCTCAGCTTGATACCGTGCCCATTTTTTAGTCGAGGTCAACGCTCTTTTCTGTATCAGATGTTCTTTTTCACTGCACAACACATTCAGGTTTTGAGAGTAGTCACAGGTGGCGTCCTGGTCACAGAGTCCAATAACAGTATCAAGCTGGGTCAAGATTCGAACCAATTTGGCCTGCAGCTGAGTCTCAAGAGAGTCAGTACACCCTGGGCCTTCAAAGTTTATGCCACCATAGATAATGTGAGCTGGAGGGTGTGTTCCTGGGAAAGGGAGAAAAATAAACTTATGACAATGTTGTTTTTGGTGGTGGTGTTGTTGTGGCTGTTGAAGTTAAACGCCCATAAAGACATTAACACTTACAGTACTGAAGGTTCATATAGTGAAAAAACCCTCAAGTACCACATTAGTTCAGAAAGCTGAAGCCAAGGTAGAATTTTAAAATAATTTTTTAAACCTCCACAACCCATGATCACACTTAAAAGCTTCAGTTTCATCAACCCATTCAGCCATCACATAGAGTGACTTCCTTTGATATTTATTTCAGTGCAGTGACATAGTCGCCAACAGTACTAAAAGTGTTAATATTGTTAATATCAAAGAAAAGGTGGAACACTAGTCCCCAAATCAGGACACACAGCAAAGAGAAAACATTCAGAGGAAGCCATGTAAAATAATAAGGCCCCATTTTGATTTGAGTTTTAAAAAATAAAAAAAATTTAAATTATAGTAGAGGGTTTTACGGCGCTCGCAACTGCAAAAAGTCATAAGAGCACCAAGGGGTGGGTGTCAACAGAGAAGTCTTTACAGGGAATCAGACTTACTCTGCTCACCTCTCTAGCTTCAACAGCACAAGGTCTGCTTCCACTATCAAGGCACCCCGGAAATAGCAGGTCACAAGAGAGTGACAAACATGCAAAAAAAGTAGATCAGGCACAGTTATGAGCGAGACATGAATCAGCCCATTTACAATTCTACTGTGCTTGAACAAGAAATGTCCCGACTTTGGGAATGGCCTTAAGACACTACAGTCAGGGGCACTGCCCTGGGGGGAATTTGGGGTTTAGAGAGGTAGTTCAATTGTGACCTACAGTGCCTCAGCATCCTGTTGGAGAAGAGCTGGCTTACAGACCAGAGAACAGTAAAAAGGAGCAACAGTAAACAAACAAAAAAATGTAAACAGAAAGATGAACATTAAAAGAGTATTTTGGAGTAAGATTAGTGCAATCATGTACAGTGGAACTCGGATTCAACGAGGTCGCTGGGCCTGACTTAAAATCTCGTTGAATCCAAGTGTTCGTTTTAGCAAACATGAGGTTTTGTGTAGACAATTATAGACACTGAGCAGGTAATGTATAAAGAGGAGTAACAAGTTGTGCCTGAAATGCCTGCATATTATGAGCTGCGGAAAAAAAAGACCGATTCGTTCAAATGCACGCCTGAGTCATCTCGATCATTTACCAAAAAGTTGTGTTGCTGTGTAGAGCCTAACATACGGAAACTATTGATTCCATAGACCAGCGCAAATTCATTACGTTGATCGACGTCAAGACTAGTTTACCATTGTAATAATGATCAGTTGCCGGGGGAAAAAGACTATGACGCATTTGTATCTGTGACGTTCCACGCACGGACCGCTGGTGCCACCTCTCCCCCTCCCCCGAAACGAACACACAGTCATAAGTGTGCAAGCCGCCCATCCAACCCCGACACACGCTAGAGTAGACATGTGAGCGTGTCAACACCGCATGTGTTGGTATGAAAAAAAAAGGCCGCTGATTGGTCACATACAATCGGCTAAGTGAATAAATGTTCACGATTCAGGTGCGATGGATGATTTCGAAGAAGAGAGTAAGTTCGTTCTGAGAGAAAAATGAGCGAAACCACGTCTGTGGGAGCTGCTAACCCAGGAAGCGACCTCGTTGAATCCAAGCTCGCCGATTTAAGTGCTCGTTGAATCCATTTTATTTTTATTGATTTTAAAGAAGAAAAAAAACGGGGAATCTATCTCCTCTCGTTGAATCCGAGTTCTCGCCGAGCTCGCTGAATCCGAGTTCCACTGTACATTTTTGTGACAGTGACAGCAAACAAAGCAGAATGAAAGCTAGGATATAGGATGGCAGATCTGAAGGAACAGCTTGATCAGGGGAGTTATGACTTTACATGCATCATTCAAAAGGGATACAGGGTTATACTCCTGTCCCCATTGTTTTATGCAAGAAAAATTTTGAAATTAGGCAAACTGAGCCCAAAAATGTGAAATTATGCGATTCTGTTAATTTTAACAAAGAAGAATGATACAGGAAAATAGTCAGAAATTATGCAAAAAAAGACCAAATTTTGCTAAATTATGCGGGGTGCATAAAACTATGGGGGGAAAGGTATTCAATCCGTCTAAGCTTTAAGTTCTTTCCTACAAAAAATGTATTTACGACTGTACTTGTAGAATGATTTTGTTCGTCGTCTTTGAGTCACTTTGACCTATACAAGAAAATATTTCCTCTTCCATTCAATAAATTATTGATAAAATATGGTATAGATAAACTACCTATTGTGTTCTATGATCAAGTTTATTTTTCCTATTGAAGAACTTCGTTTCGAGTCTCAAAAATGACTAGATCACATGCTTTCTACATTTTTTATATTTGCAAAGCGTCTAACTCACGAGCACAAGCTGGAAAACTGAAAGGCATTCCGTTTGGAGGATCCCATTCCCCTTCCAAACCACAGCGATAGAAGGGTGGTGTTGGTGTGACAAATCTGAAGTTTGGTAGGCAAGATGGAATACAGTATCTGCCATGATGCCACTCCCCACAGACACGGGCTCCATTAGCAGGAGGAGAAGGATCCTTGCACTGAAATTCTGATAAAAAATAATTACAAAAGTTAATAATGTCAAACCTGCTCTAATGTCTAACTTTCAAAGACAATTACCCATACAAATAACCACTTCTTACTCCCACCCCCACCCCCTAGTGTTTTCCCGAATATTGTAATGACAGTATCCCAGGCGTCCACCTGTTTAAGACAAAAACTTTTCTCCTCAACAGTGGGTGGCCGTCTTGGACAATTTCAACTGTATTTCTCTGTCTTGTATGAATCAGAAACACATCAAAATGTTTCCGGGAATAGCATTCCAAATAACACAAAAGGTAGCCTACTATTACTCCTGTGTATGTCTCAATATTAAAAAATCAGTGTGTAAGTGTGTATGTGTGTGTGTGTGTGTGTGTGTGTGTGTGTGTGTGTGTGTGTGTGTGTGT